TGCAAAGCAAATGACGAAAATCCCTGCCCAGGATAGCTTACACTCTTACAATGAGTCTTTTGCCTATAGCACACAGTCCACCTGAAAGGCTCTCTAATAAGAAAATCGTTGACCTGTCTGGCCTCCTGTAGGTATAAACAAGAAACAAGAAAATCCAGTCAATACAACGTCTCTCTAAGGTCCTTTTTAATGACTTCAAATTCCAGGTAAATGAAATATAAGAAGTTCCCTTTCTTCCAGCTCAGAAAAGGCAAGCCCATTCAAAAGGCCTATCCAGGCTTCCAGAGCAGTCAGATCTTGCACACTGCTACCTCCATCTATACAACGTGTTCTTTTTGTAGATGATTTTAAGTAAAAGGAAGGAAACAGCTGTGAGAGATGAGAGCTAGAAAGCTAAGAGTCAAAGAAAGAAACCAAAACACACTGTCAAGAGCACTGACATCCCAGTTCATGGAAAGTACAGTTTAGCATCTGATGAATAAACCATTGTGGGTTTCGTAGCATTCCTCCACGAAGAGTTCATTGAGAAACACTATGTTCCACGAACAAAGAGTATTGCATTGTTTGTTTTCAAAATATCTCTTATCTTTGAGATCCTGCAGCTAAAATTCTGCCTGTGGTATTCAACAGGCAGGTGTAAGAAGAGCAAGCATTCTTCAGGTCTTAAAATAGTACTGTATTATAACTTGGAAGGCAAGTCCTAACATACCAAAAGTCATAGATCAGTAGATTCTATTTAAACTAGAACTTCCTCAGTTCTAAAGTGGCTTCAAACATACCATTGTACAAAATCAGACTAAATGCTTCCCAGAGAACATCATATAACTGTTGCTTCCATCAAGTAGTTTCCTATGGGAGAAAAATACACACACACACACACACACACACACACACACGCGTGCTAAAAAAAAAAAAAAAGCATATTTTTCAAGAAAGACAATTCTTACTATTTGGGGCTTATAAAAAGCATATGTGGGGCCTCTCTCTCCCAGAGCTCTGACAAATAAACTTTCATGTGTTAAAAAAAAAAAAAAGCATATATGTGTCAAGCTGTCAAGCTGTTACACTTTTCATCCTCAAAACCATCCTGGGAGGTAGATGGGGTAGAAGGCATTACCATTTTACAGATGAGAAAGCAGGACTGTTTTATTCAAGGTGTGTATGTTGTTTAATGAACAAGGTCTCCAGTCAAGCAGGCCACTGAGCACAAGCCACTGAGCACCTAGAGGAAGGAGGATGCTCTTCTAATTTGCATTCACAGCTCTGTTTACTTTCCATTGGCCCCTTCTTATTCTAAGAAGTTCATGGAGAAGACCCCTAAATGATGCCTTTCTTAATTTGTAGTATAGTGCCACTAATCTTTGAAAGCACTGTGAAAACTATTTCCCATAGCTATCCATCCCTCCAATGAACTGAACAATGTCTACTGACATCTAGTTCGTGGCTTCAAATAATATAAGGTGAACATTCTCAACACAAATTGATTTATTGACACCACAGAAAGTCACATAGCTCCTCCCAGGCAACCTCTGAAGGACTGTACCTTCCCAAATGTCCTCCGTGGTTCTTATTCACCATGCAGCCACTTTGCTGAGCATCATATAAGCAGCATAGCAGATTCTAACTGAATGTAATCACAGCAGTGACATCAGCTATACTACGTGACACATAAAAAAACCCACAGAACCAAGAGGATTAAAAACCTATCATAGCCAAGCATAGTAGTGCACACCTGTAATCCCAGCAACTCGGGAGGTTGAGGCAGGAGGATCGCAAGTTCCAGGCCAATCTCAATAACTTAACAAGACCCTGTCTCAAAATAAAAGAGACTGGGGATGTAGCTCAGTGATAGAGTGCTTACCTCACATGCAAGGCTCTGGGTTCCGTCCCTTGCATCAAAAAGAAAAGAAAAAAAAAAAAGCCTATCATAGGTTTAAGTCACTAAATTTTGGAGTGATTTGTTACAGAGCAATGAATAACTAGAAGACTCCATGTTCTCATCCTAACACACATCAAAGCTGTACCTTTATGTAAGGGACAACAGGTCCACCCAGTTGAGCAGACTGCACAAAAGGAGACCAAGATCAAGGTGATTGTGAAATATTTTATTAGGGCTGGGGATGTGGCTCAAGCGGTGGCGAGCTCGCCTGGAATGCATGCGGCCTGGGTTCGATCCTCAGCACCACATACMAACAAAGATGTTGTGTCCGCCGAGAACTAAAAAAATAAATAAATAAATATTAAAAAGTCTCTCTCTCTATTTAAAAAAAAAAAAGAAAAGAAATATTTTATTACTTTAGTACTCTTCTGAGTGTTCAGAATGCACAAGGCAGCAGTGCCTGCCGGTTAGGGGCATGGGCTTTGGAGGCAGATGTGCTAGAAATCCTGGCCATCCTGCCTGCTGGCTGCAGGAACTTGAAAAAAAATTGCTTAAACTTCTCTGAACCTCAGTTTCTCCATACTGTGAAATGGAAGTCAGCTATAACAACTTCCTGAGGCTGGTGGGAGGAGTAAAGATGATAATATATGGAAAGGGTACACACATGTGTATACACGTATACACACACACACACACACACACACACACACACACAACTTGCCTAGAAAACTCCTATTTAGGCCTCAGCCATCATCTCACAAATGCCACTTCCCTACAGAAGCCTCCCTAAAGACCACCTTCTGAGACTTTAGCCGGCCTCCTGCCATACTCAGTCACAACACCATGTGTTTTCCTTGTGTCATCATTAAYTGGAGTTATAGTTCACTTCATCATTTAATAATGGTGGTCTCATCCACTACAGATCATCAGCTTCATAAGAAGGTAGCCTGCCTGTTGTCCTCCTATGGTGTTCTAGGACCTGGCAGAGCAGGCACACAGCAGTATCTAAAATACCTATTGAATGAAAGAAAAACATTTTCCTGAGTACTCTATGAATRAGAGTGTGGCACTGCAATATGCGCTTCTGCAGGAGTGAGTTCTGGCCAGAAAGGGCTTAGTCTAATTGGAGAATAAGACACCACCGGGATCCGAGCCTGTAGATGGTCAGTACCTCTTGAGTCTTGAGGAGCAAGAGATAACTTCTCTGTGACAACAACCCAGAAGAGTTTTGCAAAGGAGTGGTGGTGCTTCAGTTTGGATCTCAAAATGTTCCCCAGAGGCCCAKTTRTTAAAGGCTTGGTTCCCAGGGTGGTGCTCTTGGGAGATGGTGGAGCTTTGGAAGGTTGGGCCTTGTGGAAGTGCCTTAGGTCATTGGGGTTAAGCCCTTGAAGGGGGTTATGGGACATCAGTTCCCTCCGTAATCTCTTCTTTGCTCCCTGGCTCAGAAYAGTTTTGCTCCACCATGTACTCCTGCCAGGATGTGCTGTCTTTATCACAAGCCCAAGCAATAGTATCAATTAATTGAGCATGAACTGGAACCTCCAAAAACATGAGCTACAACAAACCTTTTCTCATTGCAAGTTATTTCTCTCAGGTATTTCATTATTTTGATGAAAATCTGGCTAACACAAGTGGCCTTAGAGAATCCATATTCTAAAGTGCTCATCCTAACAAACAGGGGAGAGCTTTTTGGCTACACCTTTTTTAAGCCTAAATGCCTGGCCTAAAGCAAAGTCTACATAAGAACATAATTTATTCTTTCATTCATTTATTCATTTATCAGATTTCTACTGAATACCTAATGGAATCAATAAACAATACCAACATGCAGACATTCCCTCTAAAAAAGGCCTCAGAAGCAACACCATGCTAACCAGCATTCTAACCCTCAGTAACCTGGGTCCCCAACTATGTTACCTGCAATAGAGGCCAAGCCCTATCACTTAAAGAAATGACCTTCATCTCTCCCAGCATTGCCCTGAGCTTTGCTTCCAGGTTGTACATGATTTCACTATCCAGGGCTACTGCCCAAGGCAAACAGCAATTTTTTTAAATCTTGCTTAAGATTATGAAAGCTGAAAGGGAACTTAAAAGATCATCTGGTACAAACACCCTCATTTTGCGGATACTAAGTCCTGGGGAGAAGACCCCTGGCCAAAGTCACCAGAAAACTAACTAAAGATAGAACCAGACTGTAGTCCACTCCAAGGCTGGGATRCAAGAGGGCCTGATATGTTTTGATAAGGTTCTCAATTTCAAGAGTATAAACAACAGTAATATTTTGGCCAGGAGCAGTGGCGCAACGCCTGTAATTCCAGCGGCTCAGGAGGCTGAGGCAGGAGGATCACTAGTTCAAAGCTAACCTCAGCAGAAGTGAGGCACTAAGCAACTCAGTGAGACCCTGGCTCTAAATAAAATACAAAATAGGGCTGGGGATGTGGCTCAGTGGCCGAGTGTCCCTGAATTCAATCCCCAGTTCCCACCCCCTCCAAAAAAAAAAAGTAATATTTTGGAGCCCTTACTAATAATCAGTCGCTGTGATAATCATTTCACATKAAATATCTTGTCTGGATTCTCACAACCACTCTGTGCAAATGTAAAAACCATTTTACATTTGCCCCATTTTACTGATTACAAAACTAAGGCTGGGAGAGGGTAAGGGATAAGCTCAAAGTCCCACAGCTGTTAAAAGAGAAAGTGTTGAGGTAGTAGAATGAATACTAAGTAAATAAGGACATTGGCTTCAACAGCCTCCTTTAAGGGGTTAGCTTTTAAGGGGTTAGTGATGAACTAGAAAGATCCACAAGTCAGTCGATGAAGTGAAGCTCTGCCCAAGGCTGCTCCCTTCAGCTGGGAGGGGTGTGGACGTGATGCCCTGCACGGTGTCTCTGCTCTCATCCGAGCCCGGGAGTCTTCGAGGAAACCCGCCCCCCTCTCTCTCCCCGTACGTCCCMSAAGCWACACTCGCGGTGGAGGGAGAGGTGGTTCGGTCGCGGGTCGGATTCCCGCGGGGGCAGAGGACCCCTGAGCGAGCGCAGCTGGCAGCGGCGCACCAGAGCGCCAGCTGCAGGGACCGGGCGGGAGAACGCGAGCCCCSGGCCGGGACAGAGGGGGCTGGTACCTTTCGGAGGAAGCTGGCGACCACCTGCTCGAAGGGGTACTTGTACACCTGGTGCACGTCCACCGTGATCCCCATCCCCGCCACGGACCACACCTCCGCCAGCGCACAGCAGCCGGAGCTCTGCCTGGGCCACAGGCACCCACGCCCAGGCGACCAGGGGCGTGGACTTTCCTCTGCCTTTTCAAACTTTGCAAACTTTATTGTCCATTCAGAGAAACAGACAGTAGGTCACGCCCATGTCCCCTTCCGCCAACGTCCTAAGTAGATGGCAGGCGACGGGGGGCGCGCCCAGGAACCGAAAGCCACGGGAGCGCGCCCGGGCACCCAGGGACGCATGATCTCAGCCCTTAAGGCCCAGGGCAGTACCGGGGCTCTCGGGCCACGCGAGCCACCACACCACACCACACCCTGGAAGCCTTGGACTTTAAGATTGTGCTTTTRTATTATCACCGTCTGGAGTCTCAGGACAAACCTAAACTGCTGTTGACAACACTTAAAAAATAATAAGAAGAAATATATAAACTACCTTCCCTTAAACTTTAAGGGTGATCATAAAACCTTCCTCGATGTTGCTGAGTCTGATGGGCCAAGACCGGCAATTGCATTGCTCGCACGACCTACCTGCCAGTTGCCTAAGGCTCGAGGTTTGGCTTCGTGTACCGTAAAATTGCCCAAATCTCCTAGGAGTGTCGAGGAAATAACCTGGCTTGTGTAAGCAACACTGCAGGGAAGTTCCTTTGCTCACTAAAGGTGAAATACCCTGGAGCAAGAAATAAAGGGATATAAAAAGAATTTCGAGAATTCTGTACTCCGAGGAACATCTGTTATTAGAATGAGCAAGTTGGTCCATTTATTCAGTAAGTTCTTCAACGTATTTCTGAGCACCTACTATGTACCAGGCATTGTGATCAACACTGTACATTCAGCAGTGACTTAAATACAATCCCTGCTAYCGCGGAGAAGGAATATGTAAGATGATTTAACACGCAGTTGAGATAGAAAACTAAAGAGGGTGGTGAGTCATAGGGCAGAGGACATGATTTGTGGTGGGTGGAACACGGAAGGTCTCTGAGGTGGAGACTTACTTCTACATTTGCCCTTGCCATAGATACTCATATTAGTCTGAGGAAACCCTAGCTTTGAGTAAGTTTCCTTCTAATGCTCACCCAAGCAAAACAAAAGAGCTGCAGCTCACCCACACCTCATGGGACAAGACCTCTTTAAATTCATAATCACAGACCTCGTTAAATTCGTAATAACTAACCTCAAGGGGCCTCTTAATGGTGCTAAACCAAGCTGTACTAAAATACTAAACTTCTCTAATCTGCTTACTCCCCCACCTTCCTCCCACCTCAGACCTCCCCCTCACTAACTTGTCATGGAAATTCTCTGCCTTCTTATTCCTGTAGGTGAACTATAGGCACTTAGAGTAGGGACAGTCTCTCAACTTGTCCACCTTACCCAGGGGGAGTCTGACAAATGCTTCACCAACAGCTCTCCTTTAAAAATCAAGACAAGCCATTCCAGGAGTGGTGGCACATGCCTGGAATCCTGGCCACTCAGGATGCTGAAGCAGGAGGATCTCAAGTTCAAGGCCAGCCCCTGCACAACTTGGGACCCTATGTCTAAACAAATAAATAGGTTTAGGGAGGTAGTTTGGTGGGAGATCACGGGCCTAGCATGTACTAGGTCCTGGGTTCAATCTCAGTAATGGGGGTGGGGGTGGGGGAGGCTGATTTCTGAGGATTACCAATTATTGTGGTATAAATACTCCTATTATGTTTGAAGTTACCAACACAGTGTCACTATGGGGTTGGAAAGAGAAGTGCAGAGCATGTAACAAGGGTTCACTTGATGCTTTGACTATATTGCTTGTTGCTTTGAAACTTACATTTTTTTTCTTTTTTCCCAATCTTTTGTTCCCTCAACTTTTCCCTAATCTTCTTTTCCCTAACCTTCTCCTCCCTGATCTTCTTTTCCCTGATCTTCTCCTTTCTGATCTCTCCTCCCTAATCTCATTGTCTCTGAATCACCTCTATAAAATCCCCCTGTTCCTGAGGATGGGCAGAATCACAGACTTTGGGACAGGAGTCCCCTGTGTTTCTCCTTTGAAAACAAGGCAATAAACTTTCTTTTTCCTTTTTCTCAAGATCTTGTCTTCATTATTAGATTGACATCAAGGACAAGGACTGAGYTTTCAGTTACAAGCACTCCATTATATAGTATTTCCACCATCCACATATGATAGACATAAAGAACCACAAGAATGTAGATAATGGGAAAATATAGTAATATAATTAGGAAGGGATGAGTTTTTAAAACAATCATTAATTCTAAATTTATATAATTTAATGTTTAATTATAGCTGTGATTAACCAGCTCTAAAACATCACTGAATGTTCCCATCCTTTCTTGCTCATGGGTATCTCCCTAGCATTATACCCCTTTTCCTGTCTCATTAGCATTTGCCTCCAGCTACTAGCATTTCAACCAGCACACAAGTAAACTGTGATTTCTTCCATCTTAAAAAAAAAAAAAAAATTGCCAGGCATGGTGGCGCATGCCTGTAATCCCAGTGACTCAGGAGGCTGAGGCAGGAGAATCACAAGTTTAAAGCCATCCTCAGCAACTTAGTGAAGCCTAAACAACTTAGACTCTTATCTCAAAATAAAAAATAAAAAAAGGCTGGCACATGACTCAGTGGTTAAGTACCCCTGGGTTCAATCCTCCCCCCCCCAAAAAAAAAAACACCCCGTCTTCCTCTAGTTGTATCCCAAGTCTCTGTTCCACATTTGCTCCTCACAAGAGTGGCCTATCATCTCCTGAACCCATTTCAAACAGTTTTGGTCCCCTCCACTCCACTGAAACTACTGTTCTCAAGGTCACCAATGACCAATTGCTAGATATAATAGTTAATTTTTAATCCTCACCTACAGTGTGGTGGAGGGTCAGGTGCCAAAGTTCCYGTGTGCACTGAATATATGTATAAAGCAATTCCACCATATCACCAACCCGTCCTCACAGGAAAACAAAAAGCAGTCTCCTTGGGAGACCTCACAAGGACACAAAGGAGAAATCATTTGCTTGCAGGAGTTTAGAGTATTGTTGGGGCTCAGAATAATTCAACTTTATGGCCCTTTTTGACATACTGGGTTTTTGGTTTTTTTTGTTTGTTTGTTTTGTTTTGCTTAGTTTTTTGTTGTTGGTGGTGGTGGTGGTGTTTTTTGTTGTTTTTGTTTTTGTTTTTGTGTGTGTGTGTGTGTGTGTACTGGGGGTTTAACCCAGAGGCACTTTACTACTGAGCTACATTCCCAGTCCTTTTTGAGACAGGATCTCATTAATTTGCTGAAGCTAACCTCAAACTTGTGATTCTCCTGACTCTGTCTCTCAAGTCACTGGAATTATAGGTGTACACCACCATGCCCAACCATACTGATCAATTTATTGGTTTATTTATTTATTTATTTAGGTACTAGAGATTGAACCCAGGGATTCTTAATCACTTAGCCACATCCCCAGCCCTGTGTATTTTTTATTTGAGAAGTGTCTTTCTAGGTTGCTTAGGGTCCCACTAAATTGCAGAGGATGGCCTCAAATTTGCAATCCTGCTCCCTCAGTCCAGAGGCAGTGGGATTACAGCCATATGTCACCACACCAGGCCTGAACAATTTAACCTAAAGAAAGTTAAATGGCCTAAGAGCAGGCTCAGAATCAATCTTGTATTGCTTCTTTTCCCACAGGGCAAGGAGAGGTTTGCTGCAAAGTTCCCTTATCTATCTCAAGTTTGGACCCACCAAAGAAGAAAAGCTCTGTGAAATTTCATCATCTTCACTCACAATAGCAGAAGGAAGGCTGAAGTCTGTAAGTCTGTCAGCACCCCTGAGTAGACAGTTTTTTCTTTTTTGTAGTTCTGAGTTGAACAGATTTGTCACACAATGTCTTCTATTTTAGCCCCATTTAATATTCAAAAGAATTATTTACAATCCATTAGCTGTACTGTGGGCCCACAGGACCTTGACTCAAGCCACTATATGTTTCTCCTAACCCATTGATTCTCCTGAAAATCGTTTACTGTTCTCCTAAAAACTGTCTGCTTTACCATTCTCCCCGTACCCTATGGAAAAGTGGTATATAAGTTTCTTAAACATGTTGGGCTAGCAGGTAATCACACACCTGCAATTTCCCCTTTTGCACAATGATTAGTCTGTATGTCTTTCCTCCCTTTAATCTTCCTATTGTCCTCTCATTTTGGCAAACCTTCAGAAGACAGAGGGGAATTTTCTTTCTTGCCTACAGAATCTTACAACTGCCCCTGTTACTAGAAAGTAGCTGAAAGTCAGGCCCAGGGATGGGGTCTCCACTCCACTCTRACCATCAATTTCTTCCAGAATGTGTCCTTGGGGCATCTGCTCACCAACTTCTGATTAAGTCACCACAAAAGGCCAAGGTTGTGTCCTGATAGGTTAAGGGACCCAACACTTGTTGGCACTACTTGGAGCTGGTTGGTTGAGTGACTTGTCTAAGAACAGATGCCATCTGCCCTTTCCAAGGACAACAGGGCACTCTAAAGAAAAAATAAATACTTGCCAGGCTTAACAACAAAGGCCAGTGATCTTGTGGCTCAGAATCATAGCCAGTTTGTACAATGATAATCTTGCTCTCTGTGTATATCTCCTGAGGGAGAGAAAAAGGGCCATGGAACCAGTTGCCTTTACCGCGCAATTGGGTGGTTTAACCGGTCAGAGACTTGAATTTAGAAATTTGCTGGCCAACTTTAGAAGCTCATGACTGTATTTGGTCTTCAAGATACAAAATATCTTGGAAGAGATATCTTGGAAGAAATTTCTTAAGGCACCAAATATCTTTTGTATCATCAAAGTGAGGTACAATGATTTCAACACAGTGGACATCCAGTACATTTTAGTTCAATGAATGAAAGATTGATCCTTGTAAGTACTGGGAGGTTTAAGTGGACAGGGAACATGAGTCCCTGTCCTTTTTCTCTCCTCTATATGTTTTTCTCCCTTTCTGGGTGAGTCGATTGCCCTCTTTTGACCATCCTGACCATCTCTCTATCATTGATTCTTTCTATCCAGTCTTATAACTGTTGGTATATGTAAACTCTCCACTGGACTGTGAGATTCTCAAGACTGGRA